TTATTATGGTTTTGGATGATATTAATTATTGCTCGAGCAGGTTGTTGATTGTTGATTCTGGTTTGTCGAATGTATTTTTCGACCTCAGTGGTGGGTCGAGTATATTGATTATTGCTCAAGCAGGTTGGTTGTTGATTCTGGTTTGTCGAATTTATTTTTCGACCTCAGTGGCGGGTCGAGTATATTCATTATTACTCGAGCAGGTTGTTGATTGTTGATTCTGGTTTGTCGAATGTATTTTTCGACCTCAGTGGTGGGTCGAGTATATTGATTATTGCTCAAGAAGGTCCGTTGTTGATTCTGGTTTGTCGAATTTATTTTTCGACCTCAGTGGCGGGTCGAGTATATTCATTATTGCTCGAGTAAGGAAAGTAGATGGGATTCATTACGATACGAGTAGGTTGATGGTTTTTGCTTGGATTGGTCTTGTCGAATTTATTTTTTGACCTCAGTGGTAGGTCGAGGGAGTTCATTCAGAGCAGGTCATGAAATCAGGTCATTTGGGTTTTGAGAGGATATACAGCAGGCTTAAATTTTAAATTTTTAACTGAGGGGCGATAGGACGGGGTGGTCTAAGAGAGCTCGAATAGGATGATCGAAACACCTCAGGCATAAGTTCAAATTTTCAAATTCAAGACTTCAGGGAGTGGTCATTCAGTTCTAGTTTTTCGACCTCATCGGAGATTACTTGGTTCTCGGTTTTCAACCTCAGCGGTCTCGACTCTCAGTTTTTGACCTCAGCGGTCTCGACTCCCAGTTTTTTACCTTAGCAGTCTCGACTCTCGGTTTTCGACCTCAGCGGTCTCGACTCTCAGTTTTCGACCTCAGCATCTCGACTCTTAGTTTTCGACCTCAACGGTCTCGACTCTCAGTTTTCGACCTCAAAGGTCTCTCGATTCTCGGTTTTTGACCTCAGCGGTCTCGACTCTCAATTTTTGACCTCAGCGGTCTCGACTCTCGATTTTCAACCTCAAAGGTCTCCTGATTCTCGATTTTTTACCTCAGCGGTCTTGACTCTCAGTTTTTGACCTCAGCGGTCTCGACTCTCGGTTTTCGACCTCAGCGGTCTCGACTCTCGGTTTTCGATCTCAAAGGTCTCTCGATTCTCGGTTTTTGACCTCAGCGGTCTCGACTCTCAGTTTTCGACTTCAGCAATCTCGACTCTCGGTTTTTGACCTCAAAGGTCTCTCGACTCTCGGTTTTCAACCTCAGCGGTCTCGACTCTCAGTTTTTGACCTCAGCGGTATCGACACTCAGTTTTTTACCTCAGCGGTCTCGACTCTCGGTTTTCGACCTCAGCGGTCTTGACTCTCGGTTTTCGACCCAGTGGTCTCGACTCTCGATTTTCGACCTCAACGGTCTCTCGACTCTCGATGTTCGACCTCAACAGCAGATCATTCAGTTTTCGACCTCAGTTGACGTTCGACTTCCGGTGTTCGACCTCAGTGGCAAGTCATTAGGTTCTTTTCCTTATTGACATATCTTTCAATTTTCGACCCCGACGTCAGATCATTCGATTTTCGACCTACGTGGTCTTTCGGTTTTCGATCTTGAAATCTAAAGCTCATTTGGAGGATATTTCAGTGGTTATCTAATGGTCATTCGACTTTCGATGCTCGATCTTAGTGGCAAGTTGAAGAAAACAGCTCGAAGAGGCATTTCACTCTTGGATCGAGTTATGCTTACTCGACCAGAGTGGGGGGGACTAGATGATATATGATATTATACTACACCCGGTTTAATGGAGAAAACGAATATATATTGGAAGATAAGCCCACGTATGGACTAAGCATCACGATATGGGCCAAGCTCAACTTGAGCCCACAAAGGTACATTCCCCCTATAAAAGGGGGGCTAAGGTGCCTCACTCTCTCATTCTCTACTCATTTCATTACTGTATATTCCCTCTCTTGATCTGAGCACTGACTTAGGCATCGGAGGCCGACGCCGGGGCCACCCCCAGCGTTGGGTTCTGCAGGTATGGAGGTCGTTCGAGTTGAAGGAGTCGGGTGAAATTCATTACACTCGTATTAACGTCTAAAGCATTATTCACCACAAATTGCATCCATGCCTACCCCCAAGAAGCAAAACAACAAAAAGGCCACCCTAACAACTTAAAAGGACAACTTACATCTCGGGTCCTTCCTCTCCATTCTCGGCAATCTTGGGCACCTTGTTGGTCCCAGTCTTAAAAGACGCATTGCCCATACTCCCTTTTCCCTCCCGACAGCACGAGCGTCCTATGGCCACTGCTCAGCAGCTCGAAGAGCATGTTATCTGCACCAGCCTCTCTCACGATAGTTCCAGTCGGGACCCGGACAATCACAACCTCACCCTTAGATCCAATTTTCTGCAGGCCCTGCCCGTGTGCCCCCTGCCCGCTCGGAAATGAACAATCCCCTCCACGTACACGTTCTCTACCCTGACCCGTCCCTCCAGCCGCACGAATTTGTCCTCTTGAAGACCACCACCACGTTCCCGCTTTCCCCAGATTTCACGTATATTTTCGCCCGGTCGAAATCTCATGACCGACGGCAGTCCTTCTTCTTTATCGGACCCGATTTCTTACAGTTCAAATTTTCCACCGTTTTTTACAAATATGCCACCGTATTTTTTTTTTTTTTACTAACTAACGACTGGGTTGACCAAATCCGGTGCGTGAATTTATTAAATCTGATGGTTCATATTTATTCTTATTTTTTTCACTATCGCTTATTCTTATTTGAGCGCATTTATATATATATATATATATATATATATATATATATACACACACATACATACATACATATACACTCCTAATTATCATTTCAGTGATTAACACATAACCATATCCGTTAATTTATATTTTACAAGTCAAATAAAATTCTAGATCAAGAGAAATGTAATAATTGATTGCAAGTTTTTGCTAACTTTAATTTCAAATTATTGATATTATATCTCTAAAAAAATAGATTAAGTAAAAATAAAGTACTCCCTCCATTTTGAAATATAAGGCGTTTAAGGTTTTTGCACAAATATTAAGGAGACATTAATTAATAAGTAAATTGACTAAACTAACCTTATTTATTGAAAATCAATATGTATTTATTGTTATGGTTGCAACTATAAATGAGGGTATATTTGGCAGAAAATGGAATAATTTGACTTGGTTTTGATGTACGTCTTATATTTCAAAAAATTTGAGAATTCCTTATATACCTTATATTTAAAAATGGAGGGAGTAATTAATTGAAAAGGTTTGAAAATTTAATCATTAAATTTACATTAATTAGTAATTTGAAACTACAAACATATCCATTTTCTCAAATAAAGCACAATCTAGACAGTTCTAGACAATCCAAAAGACTAGAACCACCAAATTTTTTACAAATTTGGGGCAGGGTTTACTCTCATCTAAACAGAGAATAAGGTCCCCCCAACCTAATCCTTAATGGATAGATTTTGGGGAACACATTCAGAAAAAACCTTATCCAGATGATTATGAATACAATAATACTCCAGAGCAGGAAAATGACCCATGTTCTTGCATTAATGTTATAACAACATCATTGCATAGAGCTCCCACCAGTCATCCTGATGTGTAATTAAACATCTAAAGTCATCACATGTTGAACAAACAAAGTGAATCCATCATATTCATGGCACTGCAACTATTCTCATACACCAATTGCTTTTAACGACGACGACGACGACGACAACAACAACAACAACAACAACAACAACAACAAAAACAACAATCTCAGTACAGTTTCGTAAATCAGAACTTTGTGCCAGAATTGTAATACACAGCAAAGTAAATTATTATACATCATCAGAGTTACCAAATTAACTGCCAATGACTTCATAATGTCATAAACGTTTATCAACCGAGACCTTCATGTCCAAACAAGAAGATGCAGTAGCTGTTCACCCGATAAAAGAAAACAAGTCTCCACGAGCTATCTTCTTCTTTAGATTAGATCAGGTAACTTTTTGACTTTTAGAAAACTAAAAACTCTTAACAGTATCAAGTTTTACAGATTTTAATGTCAGCATGTGAGGTGCACATATATAGAAACATTAACATAAATTAGTAGAGTTATTGAATAGCACCCAAACTTTGCCACTGACTGATATAGCACCTAATGCCAACTTATGAAGCAAAGGGGTATTGAATTACTCAATCAGAAAAGTCGAGTACAAACATGAAAAGTACCTTCACATTTGTCTTTGCATTTTAGGTACTTAAATTATCAGTAACTCAAATAAGCATTTGGAGCATTAAAACAAGAAGCAATAAGGTTGAGACGAAACCAATTTTCAAGCACAATTACCAAAGGTTCCACCAAAAAATTCCAAACTAGTAATATTCGTGTTCCTCACTCAACATAAAAGACAGTCATTTTACAGACAGACTACCAACTTCACAAGCAAAATCCATGGATGCATCCATGAGTGTGTGAGGCAAGAAA